ACAATATGATTACGGATTATTGAATAAAGTGCTAACTCTGAAGCGTCGCGGCAATTTTCTCATTAACTTGCCACTCCAAGTACTTGGCACCGTTCAATAAAGAGGAAATGTGCAATTTCGAGTGCACCCTGTCTGGTTTGAGATGCGTCTTCGGGCTTTGGGCTTACGCACAATTTATCGAAAAAACACAACCGCATTTTACAATTTCCAAAATATCATAAAAACATCACCTGTGCTTAATCACTTTTCGGATTAAGCACAGGTCCTACTTCTCATACTCATAGAACCCAGCACAATAGCGTGGGACGCTACATATGATGTAACAGAAAATTTGGTAACAATACTTTACTGAACGTGTGTTTATATGTAGACCACCTACAAAAAATAAAGCAGATAATATGCAACACGTAGCTAGCAACTAGCTGTACAACAAGCATTAATAAGTTAACATTCATTACAATTTCCCTTGCTAACGAATTTCATGGAATGTGTTCAGTGACCTTCTTCGAATGTGTTCGCCCTTGAGCCGAGCCTATAGCTGACAGTAGTGAAAACACCATAATGTTCGATGTTGAACAGACATTGGACGTCAAGGCTACCTATTGAGTCATGGTCGGGACTATCGAACTCTTGTTATTCGTGTATCTGAATTTAACTCATGTTAGATTCTCTTATGAGAAGATCAAATGAGAAAGGAAACACAGAAACCGCGGGGAGGACGCCATTTTCCTTCCCGCGTTTTCTTATCAACCTTGTTTGATATCAACCTTGCTGTCAGTCATCATCGAATACATGCAGAACTCGACTGCTAGATTGGCATAGTCGCCTCGGCAAATAGCTGCAGCGTAACGTCTCCAGGACTTTGGAAAAATTAGGTAATTTAGTTTCAGATCATAGGGTATATTTTTATTTATAAATTAACAAAATATCGTAAATGGCTTTTTGCATCTGGTGACAAAATATAACTCTGTAACTTGAGGATATCTCTATTATACAACGAACTAGCGGCCCGCCCCCGCTTCGCACGGGATCCAACTATCTCGCTATCAAAGGTTCCCTAATCTTCCCCCCTACTTTTCTAATATTTTCTTTGATAAGAATCTTCTCCTGACAATAACAAACACAACAAAAAAAATAGCAAAATTGGTCCAGGCGTTGTTGAGTTATGCGCTTACCAACACATTTTGCGATCCATTTTTATATGTACATATAAATTATCGAAACTCAACTTACTTCTCAATATGTAATCTATCCGAAATAATCAGTGCGTTTCGCCTCGTTTGATTCGTGTCTGTAAGTTGGTTAAACTATCATATCCTCAGGATGTCAAGGATAGCAGTACCTAGTAATAAGAGGTATTATAAATGGACGCAGAATAAAAGGGAAAGATTGTTTTTGTGATTCCTGTGTTTTACTAAGCTATTATTAATAAAACGACCTTTCTACAAAAACTTCTGGTACATTGGCATAGATAAATTGCAAATTTGAATTTATCTTTGAAACATTATTCGTAGCTAAAAAAAACAGTCCAATGGATAGCTTGTTTACATGAATTCATCGGTATTGCATGGAATATAATCCCACGCAGTGTGCGTAAAAATCATCGATTGAAAGAATGTTAAGAAAGTCTACCATGCCTCTCGGTCTTTGAGAATAAATCTAATCGATTAAATCAGAAATAGATCGAGGGTTTGCTGGCAAAGCAAATCGTCACATAGCGTTAGCCAAAACCGCGTTCAATGGGACCAATGGACTTAGTAATATTTCGTCCACGTATAACAATTCTAATAATTGATCATCTTACAAAAAAAATTAAGTAAGATCTGTAGCTATCCTTTAAAAATAGAATAGTACGAAATAGAGAAAGCTCTAATAAATCCACGAGGTTAGCAACTTCATCTCATTTTTTTAAAGTAAAGTACAGTTCAATGAACTCTTTCTTGTTTAGAACAACATTAGGCATCTCAAACAAAAATATGATATTTTATGTGCAACTGCGCGGACTGTGGACGGGTAACACTTGAACCGCTGCCAAACCCCTTGCGATATTGAGAACAATGTGTATTGAGAATCACAGCAGAGATATAACGCCAGGCTTACACCATTTGTTACCAGTAAATATGAACTGTAGATGAAGTTATCTAAAGGAAAATAAAGGAATATAACAGTAGTAAATCATTTTATTTTTTTCCGAGATTGGGCCAGCATACCTACGTAGTCAACATACCTACAAACTAGAAGGCAATATCTGGAAAAATACATACAAAGAACTTGGATAATACTACTTGTTCCAGTTTCCATAGGATGACAAAATACAATATGAAAAATCTTTTGTATTGTTTATAACCAGATAAAATGTAAAAGTATTTGATATCCATCCTACACTACCCTATGTCTGATGTGTATTTGTGTATTAATAACCGTAAACACTACTATTGTTGGGCAATAAGTACTGTAATGGTAGTGTGTATGTTTAATAATAATAAATATATATACATACTTAGTCACCTATGTATACTACCTACCGACCCTACCCTACCGTCCTTACCCTACACTACCTTCTCTACCCTATCCTATGTTCTTCTGGTGCTGAACTACATCCACCAATCTCAATGAGATTTGTTCAGCCATTCTTGAGTTATAAACAGTGCAACTAACACAACATAAAAATTGAAATTAAACATAGGTATAGAAAATTATAACCCTACCAGGACCAGAAACCCTTTCATAAATAAATTAAAGGCGAAATCTACGACCCTCTGAATATGCCATCAGTGACCTGTAATATTGAGTGATACGTAAACGCAAATCCAGGAAAGCTTAACTTTGCCTCTGAATCCTCTAGTTAAACTGTTATGCCACACTGTGGTGCTTATGAACAGGTTGAAGAAAAATCTCCCGAGAGACAACAGTCTGGTCTACCACATCATTTTGTTTTAAGAACTAACTTGCCTATAGTCTGACCGCAGATGGCAAATGGAAGAAGGAAAGAATATTCCGTCTTTGTACAAACTTCATTGAAATTGATGTTTGTTGTCATTGCTAGCCTCGCTACTACTGTCTGTCACCATGTTTATAGGTTTTTCTAGTAACAAAGTAAATTATCAAGCCACATTCGTGCTTTTATTTAGCTTTCAAAGGATTTCGTTTCGTTTTGTCTTTTCTTAAAACCACACTAGGATTTTTTCCTGTGTCGCATGTTGCACGGCGGCCACTTGCCCAGCTACCGCACCAACCGTGAAGTCAAATATTATATAATATTATTACAATTATATGTTTGTTAGTGATAGGGATTTTGAAATATTCATTCTGAAATATTTCTTTTCAAAATGAAAAGAAATATTTCAGAATGAATATTTCATTGCTTTTATAGTATGAGACATGTTTAATCCATTTTTTTATTATAAACCAGGCAAAATGGTTGTGGTTAGAGGATGCTTCAGCATATCAAATTCCTTTTAGATTTCTTGATATATCTGGTTAATATTAAATAGAAAGATAATCTCATAAAGGTAAGTAATTGAGGAAGCCTTTATTCAGCAGCAGACCGCTCGAGGATGATATTTTTATTTACTTATCCTTATTTTTATCCAGTAGTTCATAGTTATGATACAAAGAGAACTAGCTTTTATAATATCTTTCAGTCAACAAAGAAGTTGGCAGAAACAAGAGTGTAAATGGGAAAAAAATTGCAATGCCACCCAATGGTGCTAATAACAAAACACTGTTTTGACAATGTTGCTATAGCTGCACTCTAGATACTCGGAATTGAAGATAGAAATATAATACTTTTTTATTTAATAGGCTTGGAAACAAGCAGGCTGATTACATGAAGGTAAGCGATCAGCACTGACCATAGACACCCACAGCAATGGAGGAGTGACAAGTGTGCCGCCATAATTTTCGGGTTTTTGAGATTTAGGGTTTGGGGGAGGGGAAGGTTCCGCATTTTGGTTTGAAGTCAGGCTTAATTATATTTAGCTAAGCATTATACTTGTATTGCCCTGTAAATTTGGGGTGGAAGATTATTTAAAGAACTGGCAAAAAGCAGTTTTACTTGACTGCTTTTACAACTCCACTTACAATTATAAATAAACATTACAATACTTTAGTTTCACCTTTCACTACACTCATCATCATTTATTGGTTACTCAATGCTCAGTAAGGGTTTTCAAATGGAAAACTTAAAACAATACCGTAAGGTGTATTTTTCTTTTGATCATATATGTTATATTTCTGCTCGCTAGAATATGGAGCGTACCACAATCTATGTCTTACAGGAGGCACAGTTGGACTAGATGATAAACAGTGGAATTAAAATGGCAAAATTGATATTGTGTCTTAGTTTTTATACTTTTAATTTTGTGTAAACTATGTAAGTTATACATTTAACTGTTTATCAGATGAAATTTATGCAGTGAGTCAATTACAGTCACTTTAAAACTTTTGTGACCATAATCAATGTATTATTATACATGGGTTATATTGTTTAGATACATTTTAACACAATACTATAGTTATATCTCAAATAAGCTTAAAGTCATCATACTCTTAAAATGTGTATTGCACTTTTGTATGTAAGTGTTGTTTTAAAGAATACTAGTTGTAATTGTGCATTTATACATATTCCCATGTAATGATATGTGCAATTATTACAGTTATTTATTGAAAGAAGTCTAACCAAAATAACTATGACAACTTTTTAACAAATAATATTAGTAATACCACCAATAGAAGAAGCAAATTGTACCTACTGTTCACTCCAAAGAATATTAGGAGAAATAACGATATTAATCATAGATAGTAATATCTAAATTTGTATTCAGGACAACCGAAACAGAGTACAGACTACAGAAAGTGTTACACATACGACAGGTGAATGTACGCGGGGAGTAAATTTAGAAAAATAAATATCTTTCGCCGTTTCCTACGTTTAACACATTTTACAGATTTTTCAAGATATCGTAACCACATCGTCATTATAACTCAAACTTCCTTACCTCAAATTTTGTCTTCAAATGTGTAATTCGTTTTAGGAACTCGACACTTTATTTCTAAATAACCCGGTCAGAAATAAATACACAATGTACATCGCAAGGAAATCATTGATACACCATTCGGATACTTTCACACTTATTGTATGGTTAAAATAATACACGATTTAATCAAACCGTTGTATATTACAACTATACTGACCTGAAAATCACTAGAAATTAAAAACACTCCCCTTCGTAGCGATCACGACCATTGCTACTGACGTTACTTTTTTTCGATTTCGATGCAGTTGATTACATGGACATGGTTCTTTGGTTACGACATCAATAATCATAGACAACGAAAACGGTGGAACAGAGTACAAACTGCTATCAAAGTTACGTATACCCACCTATTTTAAACCATTATTTTAGTACTGCTTGTACCAACTTACCAAGAAGTCTAGTATTAATAATTTTATGCCAGACTTTAAGAACTAATTTCACCAACGCGTGGCGTATCATATCATAGCAATACATCAAGGATAGAGAATGTTGGCTATTCAAATATCTATAAATATTAATTAATGTTTTGTCTGCTTCTCTTATACGTCTGTGTCATCAGGAATCAAGTTGAAAAAAAGGAAAATACCCAACCCTATCTAACTAACTTCTTGTACTTCGTATTCTTCATTGCCTATGAAGTACTCAGTGTTTAGGCTGTGATTTTCTTAAAACTGATAGATAATAAGCCGTCAGAATAATAAAAACATTGATATACACGACTCGACCAATATAATTACAGCTATTTCAGAGATCCGAGGCCCAGCAACTTATTTGTATTTTATTCATATCTTGTAATACCTACGTATATTATAGATGGATTGTACAGACATGTAAAATTTGTACATGATAATATGCGCAAAAGTACGAGATGCCATTAAAGATGTTACAACCTCAGAATACAGAACAAACTTACAACGTAGAAAAAGGGCATAGAATGATGGAATGTATATAGAGTGACTGGTAATTAGTGACCAATATAAACACGTGATTGTACTCATGATAAGAAACAACTTTATCAAATAAACTTTTTTATATACTCATTAGTTTCATGATGATTGCCGTTTACCTCAACCCGAGATTATGACAAACAGTTTGTATTTACTTTAAGCAACATATTACTGAAGTGTTCTTCATCAGAGCAGCCTAGGTAGGTACTTTAGAACTATATAATATGTATACGCATCAATAAGAGTAGCTTCATCCTATAAACTCTTTAAACTCTTTATAAATATAGTTATAGGAAAATACCTAGTAAATCGCTTCATCAATTTTTTTAGCCACAAACAAAAATATTGTCTTATGTTTCAAACAACAAAAATAGATTTTTTAGAATTAAAACTACTAAAATACATCATAATTCATAATTCATATCCATCAATTACAACTACTACTTTACTTATTATTGATCTTATTTCCGGTCTGTACATGACTTCTTTCTAATGTACAGCATGGAAAAAATCAGTGTGGAAAAATTAAATGCTGCTTCATGGAGACCGACCGCTCTCGGTATAGGACGAACTACTCTTACTGACTAAAAGCCAATCCGATGTTCCTCCATCTACCCTTGTGTCAGAGGAGCGGTTATTGCCGAAGCATTCGTTGCAACCCCCCCGACGGGTATTGATTCCCACATAGTCAGGCGGGCCACGTAACCCACTACGGCCGTCACCCCGACCGCAGCACTACACTGTGAGGCGCGCGGAACACGGCGCTGCCGCCTGAAGGCCTGCTTCTGGTTGGACGACAAATACGTAGCGACGACGCCCCGAGTTTCTTTTCACAGGCTGGGCCGTAATGTGGCCGCAGGTCGGCTATGGGATACGGGATGGGAGAGAGGAGGCAGTCTCTCTCTCCCTTTCCACCGCCTCCTTTGCGAGCATCACGGCCTCGCAAAAGGTAGTGACGGCACTCCATCCGGACTCGCTCCTGGTCATGGTAGAGAATACACGCAGCAGCAAGTAAGAGATATCACGCAGCACCTAAGGTCGCGACCAAATCACGGCGCTGGTCTACTGGGCACTCCGACAACGTATGCAACGCCGTATCGTCGCGGAAATCCGGAGTCCCAGTGGTGGTATTGACACGTATCAAGTTAAGTAACTTATTTTATTAAGTAAGCCAGTTAAGTAACATTATCAATTTGAGACAAAATTGTATTCGCTTCAGATTCGGTTACATGTCTTCTGAAAAATTGATATTTTATATCACTGCTCTATCCACAGAACAGGCTCTATCACTCTTTGCAAAGATTCTAACAACAATTTTAACACTAAAAGCGCTACTTTTAGTGTCAAAATTGTAAAGCTGTCTAAGAACGGCACTTTGAAAGTTTTCCTAACAATTAACGTCTGGGAAATAATAAATTATAAATAAAAATCAGATTTAAGTGGCATTTTGCTGTTTAAGGGCTGATTTTTCCATAGTCAGGTAAATGTTATCTGAGGAATAAAATTGTTGCTGTCACTGTCTTATACAAACATTCTGACGCGACAGCATCCTAAGTATTCCCCTGATAACTTTTATCTAACCATTGAAAAATCAGCCCTAAACCAACTATATCATCCTTCAAACATTTTACATTTCAATCGTGATAATTCGAGACAATCGGCAGTCGCTTAGGGTTTGATATATCAGGGGTGCGTGCAGAAGACCTCCCCGTGCGTTCGGCGGCTGCTGGTCCCTTGTGGATACGTCCGGGGGAAGAGCAGTCGTTGGACCGGTGCACCCCGGGTACGGACAATAATCACTCCGCGTAAGAGGAGTATTATTGTCCGGAGCTAACTTCTGCAGGAGGGGTCACTCCTGCCCCGTCGTCTTATTCGATTTGGTGAGGACGTGACCACACCCTCTTAGGCGCAGGCGCGTCAATGCGGGGTTCGTTTGTCTCCTCATTCATTGAGGAACAAAACCTTTCGGCGGGTCCGCTGATTCGGGTTGGCCGGACAGCGGACGGAGGCATGTCTTAATGCCGCCGTCGGGGGGCTTGGCTTTACCGCCCGGCCCCAGAGGAAGGACACCTCTAAGATAAAAAACCACCCAATCCCAAGTTTTGGGAGCGCGGCGAGGGGATGAATGGCCGTTGGGTGTACGGTCGTTAGCGCTCCCACCTGCTGGTACCTGCCGCCCCCAGCAGTATGTAGGCTTACCCGGGTACTTAAGCCTCTGCCCGGGGTTGACATTTCTTTGCTTTATACTCGTGGGAACACTATGGAGAACCTACAAAACCAAATAAAAAATGACGAAGTGAGAGACAAAGTACCTCTGGTACTAGTTGAGCCAATGGGCGTGCTGTCGGACTCGGACAGTGCGTCTAGTCACATGAGTGTGGCGAGTGCCGTAAGCGTTAACTCGAAACGCTTACGTAAACGCCCGAGAGAGAGTGCGATCTCAGGGTCGGAATCGGCCCTAAGCGACACAGCGGTGCCGGCCCCCAAGGTCGGTGCCAAAAAAGCAGGGAGAGGTAGGCCTGCTACTACCGGCAAATATGCTGGTATCGGCCTATCCAGGCGTGAGGCTGCGGCTGCAATGAGAGCCGCAGCAAGTGCTGACAAGCTGGAGGAGGACGAGCGGCAGATTGCGGCTCTAACAAAACGGGTGACGGAAGGGAGAGTCACTCGCCTGTCGGAATCGTCATCTGTCGTCTTGGATCTAGGAGTAGAGGCAGAAGAGCTCCCTGCCTCCGACTTAAACCAAAGATTGGCTGACGCGGTTGCAGCCATAAGACGGGTGAGCAAGGTCTCGAAGGGCCTTAGCGGCTGCAGCAAGAAAGCACTCAAAGAAGCCACGGCCTCCATCATGGAGATTGCGCAGTTACTTATGACTCGCACGACAGCCGAAGAGACGACCTTGCTGCGGGCCCAAAACAAAAAGCTCGCATCACAAATGGCGGAGCTCCGCAAGGAGCACGAGGAGCTTAAGGAAGAAATGGCCAACTTTCGGCGCGAGCAACTTAGGCGGGAGGTGGGCCTTCCGCCTACAATAACGCCACAACAACCACAGTTGCCGTCGCAGGAGGCGGAGTTGACGCGCCTGATCCGTCAGGAAATGACGCGCGATCTCGTTGAGTGATCTCGGCATAACGGGCCTTCGTTGCAAGACAACTGCCACCGGCGGTCGCCTACTGGAGGTATCGGGAGCTACCAGCGGTCCCATAGCAGACGCCCTTGCTGATAGACTTAGGGCGTCTCTAGGCCCTGAAGACGTAAAAGTGTCCAGGCCGACTAAATGCGCAGACCTGCGTATATCGGGCCTGGACGATTCCGTCACACAGGAGGAGGTCACCGCTGCCATCTCTAAGGCCGGAGGATGCCCGCCGGAGCAAGTGAAGACGGGTACGATACGCCGGGGTGTCTCCGGTCTCGGGACGGTTCTGGTCAGCTGTCCCGTAGCGGCGGCTAAAAAGTTAAAAGACAAGCGGCTTCTGGTTGGTTGGGTCTCGGCGCAGGTCTTGCTCCTAGAGCCCAAGCCGTATCGGTGCTACCGCTGCTTAGAAGGAGGACATGCGGGAGCACGGTGCACCGCGGGAGTAGACCGCAGCCAACTGTGCTTCCGCTGCGGTCAGCCCGGTCACAAGGCTGGCACTTGCACTGCCACGCCGCACTGCGTTATCTGTGCGGCATCTGGCAAGCCAGCCAATCATCACACTGGGTCTAAGGCCTGCGCAAGGCCCAAGAAGAATGCCAGGAGAACGCTGGCTCATCCGCCAGCTAGTATGGCACAGCAGGCAACCAGCTCCTCGCAGCCGGTTCACCCGCCAGCTGCGGCAGAATATCCGCCGAGGGCTGGGAAGGAGGCAACGGCAATGGAAACCCAATAATGGCCCTACATCGTCTCCTTCAAGCCAACATAAACCACTGCGCCAGGGCTCATGATCTCTTGCTTCAGAGCATGGTGCAGTGGTCGATTGATGTGGCAGTTGTATCCGAGCCGTATTTTGTGCCACCCAGGGATGACTGGGTGTGCGACACAAACCGCTCGGTAGCACTTATTTTGAGGTCTGCCGGCGACACCCTGCCCTTCGAGGCCGTCACCCGAGGGCGGGGCTATGTTGCGGCAGTTTGGGGAAATATCATGGTCGTGGGGGTGTATTTCCCCCCCAGCCTTTCTCTCGCCGACATGGAGGATTTGATATTGGAGTTGGGCACGATTGTCAGTCGTAGTCATCCTCGTCCCGTGATAGTCCTTGGGGACTTCAATGCCAAATCTACGGCTTGGGGTTCGCCGTGTACGAATGCGCGGGGCGAGTTAGTGGAGGAGTGGGCGGTCGAGCA